AGCCCTGGGCATCCACGGCAGCTCCCAGGCAGGCAGATGCACCAATCCGCTTAGGGCCCCGCACGCGAGGAGCATGCATGCCAGGGCCTGTGCCGCGGGTTCACCGCTGACTCGGGAGACGCCCAGGAGGTGGGGCCGGGATCCGGGGGAAGCAAAGGACCCAGAGGGGCGCATCTCATCAGGACCAACAAGGACGAAGTCTCCCGCTGCTAAGACCCTCTGTATCCACGTGTGGAGACCCCAACGGCATCCACGGCAGCTCCCAGGCAGGCAGACGCACCAATCCGCCCAGGGCCCCGCACACGAGGAGCATGCCAGGGCCTGTGCCGTGGGTTCACCGCTGACTCAGGAGACGCCCAGGAGGTGGGGCCGGGATCCGAGGGAAGCAGAAGACCCAGAGGGGCACATCTCATCAGGACCGACAAGGACAAAGTCTCCCGCTGCTAAGACCCTCTGTATCCAAGTGTGGAGACCCTAATGCCCCGCAGGCCTGAGTGTGGGAGGCGGGGCCCGGGAGTCCCTCGGGTGATGAAAGGCAGGGCAGTGCCTCACGGTGGGCCGGGGTCACAGCTCGCTCCTCGGCGGGCCTGTCAGTCCAGAAAGCCCGCCAGTTCTTAATGCTCCGAGGACAGACGACACCCCCCTAGGGCGTGGGTTACACGGGAGACGCTGTGGCCGCCCGGACTGCGTGTCCTTGTTGCTCTTTGCTCAGTGTGTGGGCACCATCGCCGGCTCCCGGAGGCGTCGGGAGGACACTTTCCAGTAGAAAAAGGATTTGGAGGAGATGAAGGTCCCAGAAGAGGGAAGGCTTGGGGGCGTGGCCAGGGGAGACAGGCCCAGGTCGGGCGCGGGTCTTTGTTGAGCACGGCCAGTGCCATCCACACAGGCGCCTGTGCAGGGCTGGAGGGCAGCCCCCATGTGCAGGGCATCGGGGTCTACCCAGCTCCTCCGAGCTCCCGTCTCCGCGCATCGTCCAGGTCTTCCGCCCCGAAAAGCCAGAGCCAGGGAGGCACGGGCCACAGCTTAAGTCAAAGGGAACTTGTGTCTGTGTGCGTCATGTTGACGATTTTCTGAGTTGTCATTGTAGTCCTGTGGTTTCTGTGTTAGCAGCTTCTCTGGGGATTAGAGAAGGGATCTCTCTGTAGATATAGATAGATAGTAGGTATATAAATATATATATTATATATCTAATATATATATATAGACGCCAACTGCCTTACAGGGTTTCTTCTTTCCGTTTTTCAGTGTCGTATGTGTAGCAGGCACTTGAGTTTATATGAAGATGTTCGCTTCAGTCAAGGGCGGGGAAGGGGCTGTGAGGTGGCAGGGGGGGCGTGTGAGGCTGGAGAGAGGAGGCAATAGGCAAGACTCCGTGACCGCAGCCGCCGGGGCCTAGCCGAGGATGTCCAGGTAGATGGGGGTGGCCTTCCCCAGCGCGTGGAGGATTTTGTAGATCTCCTTGATGTTGAGCCGCTGCTGCGGCTCCCTCTGCCAGCAGCCAAGCATCACGTCGTAC